GGCCTCAATGCTGCGAGGCCTGGCCATGCCCTGATCCGTCCAGATGGACGGTTCAGCCCCAACCGGCGGGCGGCAGCCTCAAGAGCGCCGCCAGGCCCAAACGATAATGCCGTTTGGGCCTGCCCGTCGGGTACTGGTCCAAGATCAGGCCCTGAGGGCCTGTAATACCCCAAGGTCGGGCCTTTAGGCCCTGATGTGTCCTTCCGGCCTAAAGTTGGGTCCGGTAGGACCCGTGTGCGTGGAAGATGTAACAGCAGAGCAGGACTCCCTGATCAGTGGTAAGATGCAAAAGGTGGGCTGGCAGAACCAGACCAGTCCTATCCGGACAACTGCAGCCTCCCCAGGGTGGCCCACGGTGGTCAGGGTGGGTATTACCACTGCGGTCCACCCCTCTCATTAAATTCCCAGCTTGACGGGAGACCAGAAGGTATGGATGATCATCCAGGCATGCAGATCATAACCAGCATTCGCAATGTCGGCGTCAAGCACATATTTGGCTCTAATGGCGAGGCTAAAGCATGATTTATATAAGTGCGAGAGCATCCTCGTCGCAGACTAACCAAACGGTTCTTTTTTTTGTTGTTTTTTTTCCGCTACCACAAATGATGTCATAGTAACACCTCCGTGGGCGTGACTTAGGCCAGGCGAATCCAAAAGTGCAGTGGGAGACCGTGCAACCTAGGCCATCCGCCTTTCTGATCACGGATGCTACCCTCCAGGATAGAAAAGGAAACAAGCCCCAAAACAGGCTTCTATAGGTAATGAAAAAGAAAATGAGGTTCAACAGATTGAGCAATTAGACTAAACGGTTCACAAAAAAGAAGACAAAGTTCAGAAAAACAAACAAGAAGGTCAATTTGTTGGTGGAAGAGGAACCGGCCTCACACCCCAAAGAATTGAGAGGGTGGCCCCAGCAGGGGTTGCAAAAAGGGGAACAGAAAAAAAAAAAAAAAAAAAAAAAAAAAACAAGGAAAAAGGGGAGGTTCAACAAAATGAACAATAAGGATAAAGCGTTTACTAAGAGGGTACTAAGCAGTTCTGTGAAGTAAGAGCTAGTATAAGCACTAAGTAGTAAGAAGTTAAGAACCCAATTTGTGGCAATTACTTGTACGCAACCAGCTCCCAGTACTCCTCCTCCAAGATACGCATTGGCGAAGTCCAGCTCCAAGCATCCAGTCCCATCATCCTCGATTGTTCCTCCCTCTGACACCTGATGAAAGGCATTCCACGATGCAGACCCCAAATTCGAACCTCAGGGTCAGAGTCTCCGCTCAAAAGGAGCCAAGTCGGCCAATTTCAGAAAGGTCACAGTCGGGTGGCCCAGGGGTCAAATCCAACAGGTACCCGGTGAAGGGTCATATCCAAAAAGCAAAAGTTGCATTCCATAAGCAAAAGTCACGTCTCATATTGACAGGTCATATCCCACAGTCAAAAGTCATGTTCCACAGTCGAAAAGTCGTGACTCACAGACCCAAGCAGCAGCACACCAACGAAAATTCGGGAAAGTACCAGGCCTCAGCATTCTGGAGCAAACAGGCCGCGAGCATGTGGTACTGGGACCAAGTCAAACCAAAGGAAGCAGAGGCTGGACGAGTTCAGGCTCAGTCCAAGTCAATATAAGGACTGGCCAGCCACATTTCAGGGAGAATTCTCATTTGTGAGAAGTGTGGAAGTGCTGCTGAAGTGCTTGTGAGCTACCTGCGAGCGGCATGCATGAGAGCCCTGCTGGGCAGCGCTGTGCCGAGAGGGAAGGCGGCCATAGCCGAGTAGCTAGTAGCAGGAGATAGAGCTGGGTAGTAGCGGATGTATTCAGAGTCAAGATCCTCAAGTAGAGAGCGACAGGGAGAGAGAGAAGAGGGAGAGAGTGAGCACATGCATGAAGAAGACAGACAGACACAGAGAGAGAGAGAGAGAGAGAGAGAGAGAGAGAGAGAGAGAGAGAGAGAGAGAGAGAGAGAGAGAGAGAGAGAGAGAAAGAGAGAAGAGTCACCTACCTTGGATGAGGATGCTGGAACTGGGTTGCTGAACTCTGCGCTGATGAGCGCTGGAGACTGGAACTTTCTTTTTTCGTTTTTTCTTTTAATTGGACCATTTCTCGATTTATGCGTGTCATCCTTGCGCAGGAGCCATGCTAATCTTTTTTTTTTCTTTTTTTTTTTCTTTTTTAATTTGGACCATTTCTCGATTTATGCGTGTCATCCTTGCGCAGGGGCCATGCTAATCTTCTCTGTATCGTTCCAATTTTAACGGATGTCCCGAAGGACAGGAGACTGGAACTCTTAAACTGCCTCATATAATCATTTGTTGGAATTTCTAAGCTACGCTTATCTGAACTTTGCATCTCTGGTCTCCAGTGTGGACTTTGTGTGATCGCTCATTGTGTGTGTGTGCTCAAGGTGACGAGCAGTGAGGCTCAATGCACACTTATTTGGGTTCAACTTGAAGGTGGCTTTACACAACTTGCTCAGCACTAACCGAAGAGTCAATCATGAAATATCGTTCAACACTTCAGGCCGCTCAGATGCATATTGTCCCTCTGAAGAGTCTGAAGAGTCTGAACCTATGGAAACACCGCAGACATGCTCACCACCCACATACGCGTAGAATCATGGCGGGCACTCAGGGATCACTCAGACAAGGACGTTTTTGACTGAGTCTGGCCACAATCATTTTCTGTGCAATTATGCCACTACTATACTGTTCATTTTTCAACAGCGCACTTATCAGGCATTTCTGCTGGGGATAAAGCTGCCATTTAGTCAACATCGCATTCACAGAGAATGTGCCAGACTTTCCTGGTGGGTATGTCCATGACACTTGACAGACAGATCCAGCCTCACATCGGAAGAGCATGGCACAGAAGAGGAACAAGCTTCGGAAGATAACCAAGTCACAGCATTCACTTGGCAAGAAACACTGTTCTGGCCCACTGATTTTGCTCTCGGGAGTGAGCTATCTCCTTGCCAGGGAGTCTGCCAACCACAGGCAGAGAAGGCCTGCCCTTTTTTCACACTATATTACATTTGGGTAACCGTACTACCTTCTTACCCGAAAAAAAAACATACGTACAACGTGGTACATTGTATCCGAATACAACGTACATAAGTTGTGCGATGAATTTTGAGGTACAACTTTTCCAGGGCGGCCCTTTCGTGCGTTGTATTTGAATTTTGGGTTATGAGAGGGCGGCCCTGGAATGTATGAGAGGAGCCCGGCCTCATCTCTTTGAGTGGAAATATATGCTGATTTTTTGGTGAAAAAAAAAAAAGACCCGAATGTTCTAACCCCCCCTCAAATTTGGTAGGAAATTTCAACAATACTCTCAGGCAAAAGATGTATGTATTGCATTGTTCTTTGACATATATGTTTTTTTAACTTTTTTTGATTTTTTTGAACGTTCTTAAAAATAGTGAAAAATGTCTCAAATGCCACAGACTTCGAATAGAACGTACATATGTTGTATTCGAATACAACGTACATACATTGTAGTTGATCGTTCGTTCTATTCGGGGGGGGGAAAGCAATTTCTAAAAGTCCGATTTTCAAAGGTAATTAAAATAGAACATACATACGTTTTTTTTCGGGGTAAGAAGGTAGGCTTTCCCCAAAACTCGAATGGGCCTGAAGGTCATCATTGTCGTTCCCCCATTTTTGGCATATACCATGCGATCCGCCGTGTTTCATACACTGTAGGCAATCACACCATGGTAATAGTGTGTGATTCCTGGAGACTGTGGCAGCCGGAGAACAGCAGAATGCATCCAAGCACAGTTAAGTTTACTGGAGCTGCCATACACTCAGTACAGTCAGAGACCCCACCATCACCTGCACTTGGCTGAGAGTACAACTAGAGGCTATGGAGGCCGAGAGAGGTTTGCAGCGACAAGTTGGCACCATAAACAAAATGACCATAGGAACTCATCGCAGCGTCTATTCACTTTAACATCAAATTCATCAATCCAATTTGGCATGGATTCAACTTGACATGCTGTGAAACATGCATAAATCTCGGCCACCGATCAAACCAAGATTCTTGAAGGTTACGAGCCATTGTCCTCTCCATCTCCACTTCTGTTAACCCTAATAATGAAAAGCAGAGGTGCTGGTTAAGTGTGTGTAATGCAAAAGAAAAAACGGCATTAACTAAGAGGAAACGGAGCACGAAGCCAGCGATCAATCACTCACATTAAATTGACAAAGCACAGCTTTCCTGGTGGACCAGAATGAGCTGTCCGAAACACTTGGGGGCATGTTTCGCAGGTCCAGATCTTCAGAAGGCAACACTTTCCTTTCAAAAGACACGAATCCATCTGGCATATTGGTACATATGCGGTTGAAGTAATGCAAAATGCATCGCAACTTCGCATCATATGCCCCTCCATTTATAGCATATCTGTGGAAGGAAGAGGAGGAGGGGATGAAGGGCAGGGTGAAGGGCAGGAGAATGGGAGGGAGGGGGGAGGGGAGAAGCGGGAGGGAGGGGGAAGGGTGAGGGATGGAGGGACGGAGGGACGGAGGGAGGGAAGTGGGGAGGGAAGAGGGAGGGAGGGTGCGAGAAAAGAGAGGCAGAGAGAGAGATGAAGCACCCGAAGCACATGCACACAAAAACACTGTGCCCCTTCAGCATGGCACAATTCAAAAAGAAAAGGGCAGTCCAATGTTGATTAAAATACCTTCAAAAATCAAGAGCGAAGAAGAAGGGTAAGCAACTCAGGTTATATAGACGCAATTGGAAGTGTTAGTTCATTGCATGGAGGAACGCAGCAAGTGCAAGCAAGCCACCACCAACAAACTCACATACACAGCAACCCACATGATCAATGCCATTAAAGAAGGAAGCATATTTCCATTGAGCAAACTGGGGGGTTCTAATTACAACAGCTAAACTGACAGGCCATGAGAATGATTTGAGAGGGATCACCCAGTTTGTTTGGGCACCAAAACAGACAAGTAGATAGAGATGCTCTGGACTATCCCAAGGAGGTAGGTTTTCTTCGACAATTATCACAGCCGGGAGCCAAAAAGACCATTCGGACAAGGAACCATTTGGTTTCACGAGTAGGGTTATTTAGTAGGAATAGGAGTCTTCAAAATCTAGACTTGGGGTAGAGAAGCAAAAAGCAGCAGGGGTCAAGCGGTAGCACACCCTTCCTTGGAACACTAATGGTTAATAGGTGGTGTCATTTTCCGTGAATTTTTCACCGAAACTGCCATATTGTAATGACCTGCCAAACACGGACTGAGACGCACAGCTGATTCTGAGTTTTGCTCATGGAATGAACGGCTTGCTGAGTTTCCCGCTTGTTGCTGAGTTCTCTAAGTCTGTGTGTGTGCATGCTTGCTAGTCTGCACTCATGTCTGAGTGCTTGTCGGCTTGAGTGTGTGTGTGACCCACAAGAGCACTTGTTCGTTCAGAGGGCCCGAAGGGCCGGTACCTCACTGGGCCAGTACAGTGAGAGGCCGAGTAGAGGTAAAGTAGGCCGGTAGGCAAGAGTACATCATTCCGAGCAAAGAGTAGTATGGCCATTCACCCAGCAGTCTATTGCTCCATCACGACGGAGAGTGAGGCAGAGAAATATCACCCTTTGGATATGGACTTCATCCGGACGGAGGTTATGACGCTAGGCGATGGGAGAGCCATGGTAGTAGTTGCTAGGCATGGATGAACCACCATAGCTATGCATGCACTTCAGACAAGACTGGCACAAAGTTTACACGCGAGATTGTTAGCCGTTCGACGTACAACAATTGAAACCGGGTGCAAGGCCTGCCTCAAATACTCTCATCCCGAAATGGGATTCCAACTGTCAGGTGGGACGAGAACGCACATTGCTTCCTTCGTACAGCGACGTCGAAAATCGTATGCCCCAGGACATTGAGGAAACCAGGGGCCACGAAGTGGCAACAGCATCAGAAGCGCACTGCGTACTTAATTCTTTTTTTTTTTTACCAAAAAACAGGGCCTTATGGTCCCGACTCCTTCCATTCTGGGGAGCGACAGTCCGGTTCCTATTCCACCAGCAAGTCAAAGTATGATACATCACAGCAACCAACTCACGCTTCCTCCCGTCTGGCCGGAGGACCCCTGAACAGCATTGATTGCTCCACGTTGGGTGGAGGATTGACTGTCAGCTTGCCCAGAGTCGCTCTTCCCTCTCAGATCTACCGTTGCAGTCCTGCCAGATTTATCTGTTGTATCTAGAAAGAGTTCCTCCCGTGCTGTTGCCCACACATGCTGTCCCTCATCCCCAACCCACCCTTACTTGCTGTGATTTCCTTAGATCCAGCTACTCTCCCCCATCCTTTGAGTTGTGTTGAACCCTAAACCCTAAACCCTTAACCCTACCCTTGTTTGGATGCTTTAAATAATAACTTTTCCCCCCTTGCTTCCGCCTTCCAGTGATGTGTCGACCGGATCCCTCTGTATCCCCATGCTGCCGTCACTTCTCTATGAGACCCTCCCCACTCTGCACCCTCTTTGATCCCGGCCCTCCTTCCCCTTTTTTTCCCTTCAATCGGCGGCACCTCCTGTTGGCTCGGATGGTTCTTACTGACGAACGCAGTTTCGCTCCCCTTTCTTCCTCTAGAGCCACAAGCGGCCAGTCCTGGATTGTGGCGAACGGCTGAGGTGACAAGGCAGGTAGACCCTGTGGAAGCGGTCTCCTGCAACCTAATCCGGTGAAACCCCCTTCGACCCCAACCCTTCAAGTCATAGTTGCTTCCTCCGTTGGTGACTGTTGCCGTACAATCCCATCCGGAATTGGGTTGTGCCAGTCCTTCCGGCTCACCCGGTCTTCCCGGATCTCGGCCACCTTACCGCTAATCAGCCAGTTCCTGCTAAATTTCGATCTCACTTTCTTTCGCTGCTCTTCGTCCTCTGGCCACTTCAGCTTGATTCTCCTCCATCTGCACAATATCTCTGCTTGGATAATCGACTTGGACTCTTTCCATACCTTGTCCCTTGGATTTGATAGTCCTTCAATTGATCTGCTACATCTCTCCTTCCAGATCACCCATAGGGTCACCTTCCTGATGAGTTCAAACCAATTCGATTCCGCCCTCCGAGTCATCGTGGGGATGTTAGTGAGGAGGAGTAGTTGGATGGGTTGTTCAGGGAAAGGGGAAGAGAAGAGGGAGTCCCACAGGGAAGAGGCTCTTGCCAAGTAATCTGTCGCCTCCACACAGTGCACCAAGCAGTGAGCTATGTCCTCTACCACTCCTGCCGAGCAGACTGTACATATCTCCGAGCTATCCGGATTGGTAGCTTTACGCCTAGTGTGCAGCCATTGGTTCACTGGTAAGGCAGCATACGCTATCAACCACTGCAGACTTCTGATCTTTCTTTCTTTTTTTTTTTTTTCTTTTTTTTCTTTTTCTTTTTAATAATCAGTGCAGTACCTACAGTGGTTGTGCTGTCCCGGATTCGTCCCAGCTTGTGAATCTTAGATTGTCCCCTTCTAGCTTTGCTATTCTGCCCCCCAAGAGCCATGTTTTGGTGAACGCTAATCTCTTTAACTCCCTTTTATCCGGGAGCATTATCTTTTGTTGTTCTCTTAGGTCTCTCCGCCACCGAGCCCTTATTTCTGTTTGTATTGTGCACTTAATTCCCTCCCTTTTCTCTTCCAGGCTTGTAGTTTGGCCTTCTAACGTACTTCTGCACCTTGCTTTCCAAATCTCCCACAGAGTTGCCCTCCTCCATAACTCGGCTACTRCTTCTGAGTCCTCCTCTAGACCCTCGTTCTCCAGCCTTCCGGTCAGCAGGTACTGCGGATTGGACGGGAACTCCCATCCCGTTAACTTGGTCCACTTCYCCTTTATTTCCYCCCACGTGYCYCGCGYTTTTTGACAGGATATCAGGCAGTGTACCAACGATTCCTCCACGCCCTCACTACACACTTTACACTGTGCACTCAGTTGTAGAGGGTCTTCTTGTTTTCTCCTCTTGGCCAACCATTGATTGACTGGAAGGGCCCAGTAAATTATAAGCCATTGGAGACTTCTAATCTTTGCTGGGCGTATATTCATATACTGCTCCCACGGAATTTGGTTTGACCAATCCGCGCTTTCTTCCAAGTTCTTTTTCCACCTTTCTGAGATTACTGGTAGTGGGTCCGATGTTTTATTGCATAGTCTGTATCCTGTTTTAACTTCATACTCGTAGATTGGTACCAATTTTCTGGCACTCCCTGCTTTGTTGGCTACCAACCATCCCCATTCCGCCGGGTCTACCTCCAAATCTTTTATGTCCAGATCGGGTCTATATAGCCTTATTTTGCTTGGATCGGAAGGTATAGCTTGGTTACCCCTCTGTCCCTTTTTAAGTGTGCAGGCCCTGACCTTTCTGTAGTCGTTTAGTTGTCCCTCTAGCCTAGGTGCCTTTAATCTACCTATTTTGGCCCACGAGCTGAGAGGTTCCTTTAGTTCATAGGAACAGAATTCTGCTTTCCCTGTTTCCGAGTCTAAGATTCTGATCAATCTGAAGGCTTCGGACGGTGCCCCCCTGCCCTTCTTCATTGCCCAATCGCCCGCCGTCCATTTGCTTTCATTCCTTAGTAACAGCACCCAGTTTAGGGGTATGCTTTCTAGGATTCTTTCTAACTGCTCCTTAATGTTGTGGACCCCCTTGAGCTTATGTCTTAGTTCTTGTGCTGTAACCCATCTACCCTCTTCCGAAATCCACAGGTGGTCTATCTTCCAGACTCCCTTGCTCATCCACTTCCTCCAGTGTTTACCTTTCGTGTCTAATGTCCACTGTTTGCCGTTCTGGTCCTTCAACTGGGGGTTGCCGAACAGCGGTTGCCTCAGCACCTCTTCCCTTATTCTTGGTTTTCGTATTTTCAGCGGGAAACATTCC